GAAATTAAAGATTTTGAGGTTAAGTCAGATGGGAAATTGTATTATAAAGGAATAATGGTGATACCAGACGATGAAGAATTGAAGAAAGATCTATTGACAAAGGCTCATTGTAGTCCATTGACGATGCATCCAGGTGGAACCAAGATGTATATGGATTTAAAGGATCCGTGTTGGTGGTCAGGAAATTCAGTATGCGTAATTTTTGATCGATTGACTAAGTCAGCGTATTTTCTTCTGGTTAGAACAGATTTCTCTATGGAAAAGTATGCAGAGTTGTATATTAGAGAAATTATTAGATTACATGGAGTGCCTATTTCTATAGTTTTTGAGAGAGACCCTCGATTTACTTCGAGATTCTAGAAATTCCTACATGGAGCATTAGGAACTCGCCTAAACTTTAGTACGGCTTTTCATCCTCAAACTGACGGGAAATCAGAAAGGACTATTCAAATCTTGGAGGATATGTTGAGAGCATGTGCAATTGAATTCAAAGGGTCATGGGAAAAGTATTTACCATTGGTAGAATTCGCTTACAACAATAGTTATCAGTCTAGTATTAAGATGGCACCCTATGAGGCTTTATATGGAAACAAAATCTCGTACGCCATTAAACTGGTGTGAGCTCAAAGATCGAAGTGTTCTTGGTCCAGATTTGATTCAAGATGTGGAAGAGAAAGTTTGAGAAATTCAACATAATCTCAAAGTGGCATTTGATCGAAAAAAGTCATATTCTGATCTTAAACGAAAAGAGATTGTATTTAAAGTTGGAGATAAAGTTTTCTTGAAAGTATCTCCCTTGAAGAAAGTATTACGATTTGGTCGGAAAGGAAAGTTGAGTCCTAGATTTATTGGACCTTGTGAGATTCTAAAGAGAGTAGGTCCTGTGGTATATCAACTAGCTTTGCCACCTGAAATGGAAAAGATACATGATGTCTTTCACGTTTCAATGCTTCAGAGATATAGATCTGATCCCTCTCATATTGTAACACCAGAAAAGATTGAGGTTCAACCTGACCTGACTTATGAAGAAGAACTGGTACAAATATTAGCTCACGAGGTGAAACAACTGAGGAATAAGACTATTCCTTTGGTCAAAGTTCTATGGAGAAATCACAAGATAGAGGGAGCAACGTGGGAACGTGAAGAGGATATGCGGCATCAGTACCCCCATTTGTTCATGTAATGAAAATTTGAGGACGAATTTTTTTAAAGGGGAGATTTATAACATCCTCAATACCGGGTTAGTGACAAAAGTATGAAATTTAAGAATTTAGTGATCAAATTAAATAAATTGAAAAGTGAAGGAATTAATTGAAATGTATTGTGTAGGATGAATTAATAAGTGAAGGAGAAGTAAAAGGGTAAAAGGGTCATTCAGGAAATAAAAGAATAAAATAATAGTTAGTGGGTATTATAATATCCATGTGAAATAAAATTTAGAAGATAAGTTTCCAGAGACATATCTTCTTCATCATCTTCTTCTCCCAAACGTGAAGCACCCAAGCTCAAGGTAAGTTTGATTTCTTTTGGTTAATCCTTCAAATTAAAGCATGGTTTTGATTCATGAAGCTTTAGGAAAGGTGATGGAGATGGAAAAGATCATAAAAACTCAAAGATTTGTAAGTTATGAAGGATTAAAGATAAGAAGTGGATAAGTGAAATTTTGAATAAGGATGTAAAAATGGATTTAGATGTTGAATTTGACTTGTCATGGGTGTGAATAATAAGTTATAAGTGTTAGAATTAAGTTTGGATAACATGGAAAATTTGGTATGATTCTTAGCCTTAAGAATTTGGATGAAATATGGGAGATTATAAAGTGTTAGAATGATAGAAATTAGTTAAAGTTGTTATAGATGAGTTTAGTAGCATAATAAGGATTTTATACATGAAAATTTGGGTGAAGTATTAATGAATTTCGGGGGAAATAGCCTATTTTGGACAGGTGCATCGATACACTATGAATGGGTATAGATGTACTAAGATCAATTTTGAAGGTGCATCGATGCATTGAGTAGTGCATCGATGCATGAATATTTCGAAGCTATTCACTCCTAAAGAAAATTAGGAATATGAGTTTATTAAATTCGTTTAAGTTAATAGCATTGAATTATAAGGTTTAGGCTCCTGATAATCATCTTGAAATTATATTTATGTAGATATTGAGCCTAAACGAGTTCTGGAACAAGTGACAAGTAAGATCGATCGAGGAAAAGGCAAAGAGATATATGTGAGTGCATATGCATAGCATGAATATAGTAGTATATTCAGTTCTAGACTTGTGATAAGTCTAGATTCTATATTTTGATACATGATCACATTTCATATTATGATACATGACATGAATTCATATTATATGCATTATGTGACATGAATATGCAGGAAAAGTTATATGAGATATATGATAAAGGTATGGAAAATGATATGTATATGTGATAAAGGTATGAAAATAATATGTCTACGCGATATAAACTATGTGAATTGTGAAAGCCCATGTTATGTAGATGAGAAATATAGGCATAGTTGGCATGCCAAGAGTAGAGGGTTTACGCGGTCCTTCTGGAAAAATTATACGTGGTCTTTTGGGACATATATGTATTCTTTGGAACATGTATGAGGTGTTTTGACAAACCTAATTTATTCTTGGTATATGTATATGGTTCTTAAGGAATTTCTATGTTGTCCTTAGGGACATATTATATGGCACTACGGTGCAATTCTACGTGGCACTTTGGTGCAATTTATACGAGTTGTGGTGACAGTATTTGTGCACAACCTCACAGTACTCACATACCTCGGGTTCTCAGTATTGTATCATGGGCTATTGAACCTCTTGAACTTATTACATGAATTCATGAGGGTTAATTTGATGAGATTATTGGTAAGATACATTGTTATGCAGATTACATGGATTGCATAGATGATTTCATTACATTTCATCTTATTATGGCATCATTATTATATTTCATTTTTATTATTATTATGCCTCACTAAGTCGATGACTTAGCGTGTAAGTTTTTTTTTACACGTAGGTACCGAAAAGCAGAGAAATCCATAATAAGCTCAACAAAACAACATAACTCCACTTGAAGGTCAGTTCAGAAGTAGATTAAATAGTAGGATTTATTATGTGAAAATAGGTTGGCATGTAAACAAAGTCGGTAAATTAAATATTTATGCTCTGATCGAGTATTGTAATGTTTTAATCGTATTTATGTAAATATAAATGCATAGTAATGAACGATTAAATTTTTATGAGTTTTATGAACGTTTTACGAAAGTTACTGCAACAGTACTATAGCAGTGCATCGATGCACTGTAGCAATGCATCGATACACAATTTATATTCGAAATTTTTCACTGTTCACGGTACTGTTTATAAATACGTTTTTGCCTTAAATTTTTATAATGAAGCATAATTTAATAGTATTTTATTTTATTTTCTTAGTATAAGTCCAAAGATTATGTATTTTGTTAAGAATTTTATTTTAAAAAGTCAATGTGACATCTCGGACTCGTATTCGGGTCGGGTACAGGTTGAGGTGTTACAACAAGTTTGGGGGAGAAAACTCCAACAGTTTTCTCCATCACATAACACAACCAGAGGTTCGAACTGAATTTGTTGAATGAGTAGAAACACCTAAAGAGAAGGAAAGAACTGAAAGTGCATTAACGCATCACTCAAACAATGAAAAATTCATGGCTGAGGCCAGAAATTTTTCAACAACAACAGTAGACAATGTGAGACCTCCACCACCATTCCCTCAACGGTTGAAGAAGCATGATGATGATATCCAGTTTAAGAAATTTGTTGATGTTTTGGATCAATTGCGTATTAATGTGCCTTTACTTTAAGCCATCGAGCAAATACCTTCCTATGCCAAGTTTCTTAAAGACATTGTTACGAAGAAACAGAAGGTAGAGCGTATTGCCACGGCAACAGAAATCTGTTCAGCAGTGAACAAACTCCCACCAAAAAAAACCCTGGCAGCTTTATAATACCATGCTCAATTGGTAGTAACTTCATAGGACGAGCTCTTGTTGATTTGGGATCAAGTGTGAACTTGATACCAAAGTCCATATTTATGAAAATAGACGGGTATCACGCCTACCCAACCTCAGTCATCTTACAGCTAGTCGATCGGTCATATGTACGGCCATAGGGTAGAATAGAGGATGTCATCTTAAAGGTGGATAAATTATTCTTTCCAGTTGATTTCCTTATCCTAGATTATGAAGCCGATGAAAATGCCCCGATCATTCTGGGACGACCATTTTTAGCCACTGGGAGAATCCTAATAGATTGTGAAAAATGAGAGTTCACAATGTGAGTAAGAGAGAAAAATGTCACCATCAATGTATTCAATTCCATGAAATATGTGGATAATTCAAAAGAGTGCCAACGCATTAGAGAAGTAGAGGAGAAAACAATCCTATGACAAGGTGAATCTCGACGACTCGATGAATACATCGCTTTGTATCATGACCCTACAACCGAGATGCACGAACCAAATACATTTGGCTCAAGCGAATTAAACTCAGAAGAGGAATCAGAATTTCATGGCCCTAACAACAAAAATCTGAACAATGAACGCCCTGCAATTGACACCAATGCATGATACGGAAGAGAGAAAAAGGATCAATCGAGACTTCTTCATAATTGATCAGGTATGAAATTCGAACCCTTAGAATATGATGAAGTAAAGTCTCAAAAGTCATCCTTGCAACATGCACCGAAACTGGAACTTAAACCTTTACCATCACATTTGAAATATGCTTATCTAGGAGTTGATGAAACTCTACCAGTTATAATTTCTACCAACCTAACCTCCGAGCAGGAGAATAGTTTGTTGAATGTTTTGTCACAGTACAGAAAAGCTCTCGGATGGACAATGGCATACTTGAAGGGAATCAGTCCGACTATATGCATGCACAAAATTAACCTTGAAGATGGCCATAGCACTTCGGTCGAACCTCAAAGAAGACTCAATCCAATCATGAAGAAGGTACTCATGAAGGAAATCATAAAATGGTTGGACGCGGGAGTAATATATCCTATATTCGATAGTTCATGGGTAATCCAGGTACAATGTGTGCCAAAGAAAGGTGGTGTGACCATAATTAAAAGTGAACATGACGAACTCTTCACCACGAGAACAGTCAAGGGCTGGCGCATATGCATGGATTATAGGAAGCTCAATAAAGCCACAAAGAATGACCATTTTCCCCTCCCCTTTTTCAACCAAATACTTGATAGATTAGCGGCAAAAGCATTTTACTGCTTTTTCGATGGATATTCAGGGTATAACCAAAAAGCCATAGCACCGGAGGATCAAGAGAAAATAACTTTCACATGTCCGTATGGCACCTATGCATTTAGAAGAATGATGTTTGGATTATGAAACGCTCCAGCTACATTCCAAAGATGCATGATGTCAATATTTTCATATATGGTAGAATAATGCATGGAAATATTTATGGATGATTTCTCCGTCTCGGATGATGATTTTAACCGATGCCTAGGCAATTTATCTAAGGTACTGAAATGATGTGAAGAAGCCAACCTAGTGCTGAATTGGGAGAAATGCCATTTTATGGTGATCAAAGGAATAGTGTTAGATCATAAAATTTCATGTCGAGGCATTGAAGTCGATAAAGCCAAGGTGGACATAATTGCAAACCTACACCCACCCACCCACCAATGTGCGAGGTGTACGCAGTTTCCTTGGACATGCAAGCTTCTACAGGCGGTCCATAAAAGATTTTTCTCAAATTTCTAAACCCTTATGTATTTTGCTTCAACAAAATCATCCATTTGAATTTACTAATGATTGTTTGAATGCCATCATAGATTTGAGAAAACGCTTTCGGTAGCACCAGTCGTGATCCCACCAGATTGGAATGAACCATTTAAACTCATGTGCGATGCCAGTGACTATGCAGTCGGAGCGGTGCTAGGGCAATGAAAAAGTAAAATCTTTCATGTCATATATTATGCGAGTCGTACTCTTAATGATGCACAAATAAACTATACCACCACTGAAAAAGAACTTTTAGAAGTAGTATTTGCATTCGATAAGTTTAGGCAATACCTAATAGGCACTAAGGTAATTGGGCATACATATCACTCAGCCATTAAATATCTGATTAATAAAAAAGATACGAAACCTAGACTAATTTGATGTATATTATTACTACAAGAGTTCGATTTAGATATTAAGAATAGAAAATGTATAGAGAATCAAGTGGCAGACCATTTGTCTAGGCTAATAAAAAATTTGATTATCTTGATACAACAGAAATTAAAGAGGATTTCCCTGATGAGAAAATATTATTTGTCACGGTTGCGCCGTGGTATGTTGACATTGTTAACTTTCTTGTTAGTGGTATTGTTCCTCCTGATTTATCTAGCCAGGGCAGAAAGAAGTTTCGACATGATGTGCGACATTACTACTGGGATGAACCGTTTCTATTCAAGCAATGCAGAGACCAAATAATTCGAAGATGCATTCCAGAAGAAGAGCTGAAAGATATTCTACACCAATGCCACTCGTCACTATATGGAGGGCATTTCGGTGGAATGAGAACAGCAGCTAAGGTGCTTCAATCTGGATTTTATTGGCCATCCTTATTCAAGGATGCGCATGAATTTTATAAGTCATGTGATAGATGCCAACGAACAGGAAACATATCAAAAAGGCATGAGATGCCATGGAAAAATATCCTGGAAATTAAACTCTTCGACGTATGGGGAATAGACTTCATGGGACCCTTTCCCACATCTTTCGGAGATTTGTACATCCTCTTGGCCGTAGACTATGTATCAAAGTAGGTTGAGGCCATCGCAATATCTAAAAATGATTTCAAAACGATGCTAAAGTTTCTGCACAAAAATATATTCACCCGATTTGGAACACCATGAGTTATCATCAACGATGAAGGCACTCATTTTGATAATAAATTGATTGCTAAGGCACTGAAGCGATATGGAGTACGACATAGGATTGATATGGCATATCACCCTCAAATGAATGGACAAGCCGAAGTGTCTAACCGAGAAATTAAACAGATCCTTGAGAAAGTGGTCAACCCAAATCGAAATGACTGATCACCAAAGCTAGATGAAGCACTATAGGCTTACTGCACAGCATTCAAGACACCATTGGGAATGTCACCATTCAAACTGGTCTATGGAAAAGAATATCATATTCCTGTTGAATTAGAACATAAAGCCTATTGGGCCATCAAAAAGCTAAACATGAATGCTCAGCTTGCTGGAGAAAGAAGACTCTTGGAACTGAACGAGATCGATGAATTCAGAGCACGCATATGAGAATGCCCGCCTATACAAGGAGAAAACAAAACGATGGCATGACAGAAAAATATTGCCGAGGTAATTCTATTCTAGACAACAAGTACTGCTCTACAATTCACGTCTTAAGTTATTCCTAGGCAAGTTGAAATCATGATGGTCAGTATCATTCATCGTACGCCAAGTCTATGACAATGGAGCAATTGAAATCCAGAACCAAAACGATGATTCCATCTTTAAGGTGAACGGGCAGAGACTCAAGGAGTACAAAGGAGCCCCAGTCATCCGCGACAAATCGGTATCGTTGGCACATGATGCCCAAGAGTTTGCTTTACTTTCTTGAACAAATCTCGTTGCCTAGGCAACGAAAAATTAAATTCTGTATATAAATAAATTAAGTTATTTTCTGCTTTCATTATCTGTTTTATTTTAATATTTTTATTTTATTGTAGGCAAGCAATTAACACGTGGCTGCATAGGGAGTTAGAGCATGCATGAGAAGAAAACAAACCCTATGACACATAGTTTTGGTGGCAGAATAAAGAGGGAAAGATATCTTTTCCCCCACGTTATGTCCAATCATATATTTCTCATTAATGCAAAAATCTTTTCCCTCCAAGAAAGGACAAAACTATCCCGAAACCACCCATTACTTTCCAAAGTAACAATCTGCCCAACTTCTTCTTCTTCATCATGCATAACTCTCTCTTCACTAAGCAAGAAAATGTTTTCCCATCACCAGCATTGATTTCAACCAAGAACAATGGTAATAACAAGGAAAGCCCCAACACAGAGTTTTGAACGTTTCCAAACAGCAGAAGCACGCTTTAAAATTTTCAGAAACGTCAAGTATATCTGGAAGATGGATTCGTTTTCCCAGCCGCGGATGAGGAACCGTTTGGATCGGAAGTGATGGATGTGATAAAAACATAACTGGGAAAAGTTTGATCATCATCCCAACACCGTAGCACCGGTGTTGGTATGGGAATTATACGCCCATCTCGAGGACCTGTCTATCCAAACAATTTATGTTCGAGGAAAGCTCATTCGATTTTCCCCCTTTGCACTCAACCGATACTTTAAGTTGGGAAAAGTGAAGGAGTAGTATAAGAAATTTGTGGTTGAGGTCGATCAAGAAACGTATGACGGAGTACTACAGGATTTATGCTTTGGGTGGGCCAAGTTTGAAGGAAATGCCCCAATGAGGAAACGAGTAGATCGCCGAGCACTAAAACAGCATGTGAAGTTATGGAATCACTTTCTCAAAGGCAAGCTGATGCCAACATCCCACAACACCACTGTCCTCGTGAAGAGATCGATGCTCTTGCACTCGATCATATACGGGAGGAAGATCGATGTTGGAGAACTCATCTTCGAGCATATCCATGAATGTACTAAGAGGAACCAAGGTAACCTACTGTTTCCAAAACTTGATAATCGCTCTGTGCAAGAAGAAGAAAGTTCCTGAGGAGCACTTTAAGGATTTCATTAAATCCAAGAAGGGCGTCAACAAGAAGAAGGTATCCGAGTTGATGAGTTTCAATGACGACGATCCTCATAAAGGTTTGGAGCGGGGAACAAAATTGGTTGTCGCGGCTATAATGGTTGTTGTGGTCATGCACACTCAAGAAATGCATGAAAAGATTGGGCGCCTGGAGGACCACATGGAAATTTACTTTGAGTATGTCAAGGCTAGGGACATGCAACTCAACGCCTTCTTCAAGGAGTTGCTCCCGAACACTGACACCAGATTACCGACCTTCCCCAGTGTCATCCTCAAATACAATACGGGCGACAGAACATTCCATGCCTCGACATCACATATCCCTCCAGAAGTTCCCCTAGAAGTTCCCACTGATGTGCCACCTCTAGCCACCCATATCCCACCCGTACCAGAGGAAAGCCAAGGCGACACAAAAGAGTTCATTAGCTCCTCATATTTTCAACCACCGAGAGCATTGATGATACACCACCCCACTTCTTCACTAACGAAGATTTCACACCAGCATCGAAGCAACCCGAGCACGGCCCTATCCATTCTCCTCTCCGTCAAGCTACACCAGTCCCAACAGCAGACCTTAGTCCAGCACAACCAACTCCAACTACCGAGAAGTTAACTCCAACTACCGAGCAGTCAACTCCAGCACACGCCTCGTCCAGCAAGAAGTGCTACAAGAAAACGACAAGACATATACTTCAGCCATCTCCCTTTCCAGCAGCAGTAGACTCGGGATCTGAGAGTCCCTCTTCTCCCAAATGACGTCGAATGAGGGCGTCCAACCAAGCCACCCCACCACAATGAGTTTCTATTTTATTTTTAGTTTTTCTTTTTCGCATCTGCATATAGATTCATATAGTTTTAATTTCATGCATTGAGGATAATGCATCCCTCAAGCTTGGGGGAGGTATTATACCATATTCTACCATACTTTGTTAGAAAGCAGTTGATGATAATTGGTTGAAAATTTTGATTGTCATGACATAAGCAGGTTAAGATTATTGTTAGGAATTAATTAGGGATGCCCAATGATGAATGCATAATTTTATTGCCTAGGCCAAAATTATTGTTAAGACTGTCTGAAGAAGAGAACCAACCTTAGGCCTGATTCTTTGAAGTTCATAAACACGATTGTAGGTTGTCTTTGTTTCAGGTAGTCTTTAAATTTTTTGGAAAAGAACTTTCTGCTTGCCGAGACTTTAAAAATATTTTAAGGGTGAAGTAAAAACTCCCTAATGTTTAAAAACTTGAAAAATAAGAAGGGACACTCCTCTGTGCAAAGGCATAAATAGAAAAACTCCATAAAAAATTAAGAGTAGCCACGACATATGAGTGAGTGAATGAAAGTAGTCACAGGATGACTCTTCCTGACTAGCTTAGAGGTGGAAGGTATGCTCCCTTTCACTTAGAGTGTGGAACGGTAGTTGTGATGAGCTGACTCCCCTGCGTAAAAAATAGTTGATAAATAACTAGGAGTATAAACTAATCCTGAAAAATAATTTGTTACCTTGACAAACCAGAAGTGTTTACTTAAGTTTTCTAATTACCTTTATGCAAAGACTGGTTATAATCACGCACACATTATAGCAAAGAATCCTGACTAGGTAAGGGACTGACTTACATGACTATCGAACATGTTGAAGCCAAACAATTTTTGTTGAGGGATGAAATCTCAAACCATATGATTTTCTTAACTCTGCTTTGCCATGACAATTTTGATTTTCTTCTAGATATTGTATATTACTTGAGGACAAGCAATAGCTTAAGTTTGGGGGCGTGATAACTCCGTAAAAAGACATAATTTCTAGTCTTTTCACTTAATTTATTACTTGTCTAAACAAAGTATGTATAGCATTGTAGTTGCATTTAGTCACATATAGGTTATATTAGCTTGTGGTGGATAAATTTTGCTTAGACAAGATTTATTTGGCTTGACTGATGCTGCTGAGGAGAAAAGGTTGTTTGGATTGTGTTTGTGCAGGAAACTTACAGGGGAAGAACATTTCAGTCGTGACAATGTAAATTTGCAAAGGCTAACGGAACAGATAAGAACGTGAGGAGCAGATTTATCTCATCGAGGCAAGGTTTATCTGAAGAAGTCTGAAGCAGGTATGACGAAACCGCCTATGTCACAAGCCAGTTGGATGACCTACTTCACGTGCAAGCAAGCCTTAGTTATTCTGACAAGCGCCTTTCCTTTTTAAGTCTGGACATTTATTTAACAACGGTTATTTAAGGAAACTCCAAAAAAAAATGCAAATCCCTAGGATATTTTTCCTTATAAATAACCAGCCATAGTCGCCAAAAAAAGAAGGCAAGGAAGAAGATAGAAGAACTTTACCCAAGGCGTGAGCAAGCAACTGCAGTGCTTATTCACTGTCTACCCACAGACCTTTCTTGATGTCTTCCATAACCAGACGTTAGTAGAGTGGTGATCAAGCCTCGAGAGAGGGTGGTCACCAAGGCAGGCGTAGTGCTGATCAGAATCGTTACGATAGAGCCCCCGGTTTTGGAAGTCGTTATTCCTTTCTTTTTAACTCTTTATCTATTTGGGATTGTACTAAACGTTGAATTTTGGTTGATCTTTTATAGCACCATGAATGTCTTACTTGGTGTTAAACTTTGTTTTTCCTGAACAATATTTTTAAGTTTATGAATGATGAATTATGTTTTGCATATGACTATTTTGCTCATCGTTTAAATATTTTACCT